AACTTTGTTTACGAGACAAAGTTAACAAGGCAATTAAATAGACACTGGATTGTACACCACATTTAGTGTAATATGTTTTCTCTAATCTTTTGGTGTGATGTGCATATTCTACTTACTGGGTGATGTAGTTCATTATATTATAAATTTCAGAGCGGTAAAACGGGAAACAAGAGTTAGAAGAACAAGAGTCATACTGCCAAACTTAAGCACTTGCAGGGAACTTTTCTTGTCATTACTTAGATTGAATAATTGAGAGTTAATTATAAGATATGATTGATGTCATTGTGTGTAGGAGGAAATACTTGTAATTTCGGTCCCTGCTTTAGTTAAAGGGTTTTCTTGTATTGTTTCTTACGGAGATAACTTAGTAGAGACTTGAAACATAAATATATATTTACTTGGTTAATGATACGTGAAATAAGTACTATTGAAATAATATTTATGAATTAGAGATATATTATTAATCTCTCTTATAGATGACATTATGAATAATATTAATTGGATGAGCTACAACGTTGGAATATGTGTTGTTACAATTATGTTATAATTAATATTAATATATTATTTAATTTTTAAATTTTTACTTAAAAAAATTAATTAGTTATCTATCATAAATGATATAAATTTTTTGAAAGAAAAAATGTGAATTGAAAAAAAAAAAAAAGCAGGTAAAAGAATTTAATCTAAACTGAATCTTTGACTTGGCCATGCGGTCCTCCCTGGACAAGAAGCTTCAAGGATACTACCATGCAATATTATAAAAATAAGGTCGTCGCCGCAAATTTAGCCTTTCTCTTTCTCCCATACCTCATCAACTCTCCTCTAATTTTTTTATCTCTGAAACGTTGAAGTTGAATCTTCTTCTTCTTCTCCGTCATCTTCTTAATTAATCTACTATTTTAATCTTAATAAAAGGCTAAAAAAAATGGTTGGGGTGTTGACATTTTGGTTGTCTTGTGACAAGTAGGCGTTGTTATAAGTAGATGAGGAAATTCATTTATGCAGAGCAGCAGTGCGTATATACAACAAAAAGAAAAGAGGAGACTCCATTTAAATCCATTTATATGGAGTTGGTGCTAAAAATGGCAGAACCAGATGCTTCCGTTCAAGAAGAAATTACGTGCAAGGAAGAACCTACCAAGGTGTAGTTACGATAATTCTCGCTAATTTACTCTTTTATTGATTTGCTGATATAAAAGATCCTCTAGTTCTGATCACTAGTTTTTTTCCCAGTAACCAAACATTTAATTGGGTGTTGTTGATAATCATGATATATATATATATATATATATATATATACATACGAGATTGTTAAATAGTTTAATTCTCTCAGGTTGGGTTTGGAAGAGAATATGAAGATGGCGGTGGTCTTTGTTCGTCTTCACCAAGGACTAGAATGGATGACAAAAATGGTCAGGTAATTAAACGATTTGTTTATAGAATTTGATGGTCAAAATTCAGAATGATGTCTTCTTTTAAATCCATGGAACTTGACGGGTAAAATTAAGATAGATTATATTTCGAATATTGATATAGGAGGATGAACTAGAATCTGCAAAGGCTGAAATGGGTGAAGTAAGAGAAGAAAATGAGAGACTAAAACTGATGCTGGAGAAAATTGAGAAGGATTACAAGTCCCTTCAACTGCGGTTTTTCTCATTTTTGAAACAAGAAAGTTCAAGAAAATCTGAATCTTCAGCTCCTAATTCTCACGATTTTGAGGATGAAGAACCAGAACTCGTGTCTCTTTGCCTTGGGAGAAATCCAAAAGAGGCCAAAAAAGAAGAGAAGATCACAGCAAGGGATTTTAACAAAGCTAAAGAGGATGGTGGAGATCATCTCAAGGCCAGCCTAACACTTGGGTTGGATTCAAAATCTCAATTATCTGGTGAATTAAGCCCAGAAAACAGTTCAGAAGAACCAAAGGAAGAAGAAGCAGGTGAAATATGGCCACCGAGCAAGATTCAGAAGACCATGAAAAGTGGAGACGATGAAGCTGCACAACAAAATCACGTCAAGAGAGCTAGGGTTTGTGTTAGAGCAAGATGCGATGCACCAACGGTTAGTATATAAATATATAACCGAACTGCAAATTAAGATGAAAGGTTAATTAATTGTTTTCTTATTTGGGTTCAGTTTAAGTAATTTTGATATTTTGAAATAATATATAGATGAATGATGGATGCCAGTGGAGGAAATACGGGCAAAAAATTGCGAAAGGGAATCCATGCCCACGAGCTTACTATCGTTGCACGGTTGCTCCAGGCTGCCCAGTTAGAAAACAGGTGCTTAATTATTGATTATTTATAGTTTAATACTATTTCAATTTAATATACAATTGTTCAATCAATTATTTATAGTTTAACAATTGTAGTTACAATTATTCTTTTCTGAGTTTAGGAGGTAGTCATGAAACATGTTTTTCTCCATAATCCTTACTGTGAAAAAATGATTCTAGGTACAAAGATGTGCCGAGGATATGTCCATCTTGATTACCACTTATGAAGGAACCCACAATCACCCGCTTCCAATTTCGGCCACGGCCATGGCATCCACGACTTCTGCTGCTGCTTCCGTGCTGTTATCAGGCTCGTCCACATTGTCAACGCAGTCGGCCATGGTCAGCTCCTCAGTCACAGCATATTCCAGTACTGATCAATTCCATGGATCAAACTTCAGCCTCTATGATAGTTCAAGAACAAAACAATTCTACTTACCAAACACTTCCATGTCTTTGCTCCCAACAGTTACTCTAGACCTTACTACACCCCTATCCTCTTCTTCATCTACAAATTTCAACAGGTTTTCAAACCAAAGATTTCCCTCAACGAGTTTCAATTTTTCTTCCTCAGATAAATCCACCATTAATCTACCAACCATATGGGGAAATGGGTACCCTGCAAGTTTTGGAACACTACCCTACACTCAAACTCAAATAGGACCTTTTTCAAATTTTGCACAACAATCCCACGAACAATCTTCTTCATCTAATTATAATTTGGAAAAAAGCCAGCAAGCTGCAGCTTCTCAACAGTCTTTGACAGAAACGTTGACCAAAGCCATAACTACAGACCCAAGCTTCCAGTCAGTAATCGCTGCAGCTATTTCAACAATGGTTGCTGGCAGTGGAACAAACGCGGGTGCAGAGCAAGAAAAAAGTGGAAAGGAGATCAATTGTGGGCAGAATCTGATACAAGCCGTAGCAGTTTCCAATAATTCATCGAGCCAGGATGGAGCCAAGGGATGTGGATCAAGCTACTTCAATGGATTACTTTCCTCTTCCAAACCTAAAACAGGAGGTTTGAACCAGCCTCCATTGCCGTTTTCCATTTTTAAGGTTGCTACTTCCTTGCCTACTTCTGTTAACAAGGAAAAGAAGAGGTGACATGTTGGATATAATTTTTAATTATTTTGGGATGTTATTTGTTGGTCTGAAAATAAGAATCGACAAGTGTATATTTTATACTTTCAAATTACAATTTGCGTTTTTATACATAAAAATGAAGGTCCTTTTATCTTTTAAAACAAAATAGAATTACCTCAAGGTACGTGTAGTTTTCTTGTGGCTTTTAACATTTTGTTTCATTGGCGGGACCTCTACCATATCTGTGAGAACTTATAGAGAACTCATTCGATGTTCTTGTATCCAAATAAACATATACAAACAAACTCAAAACAATCTCAAACAAAAGCAAAATAAGCCGTAAAAACCAGTCAATGTAAATAAATAAAAAAAAAGCCATTCTCAAAGCTGCATGTATGTCAGCTAAACTTAGAGCCGACAAACCGAATAATAACCTCAAAATTGACGAGCGAAGAATATAAGAGCCCCAGAGAGTTTGGAAGGAAGCAATGATTTGAAGAAAAAAATCTGAATGAAATTAAAAATTGGTGCACAATTTGGCGCTACCAACAAATAATTTATTGAATCGACTTAGCTTACAGTTCTACTTTCATTATATAATTATAGAAAAATAATCTAACATTAATATTAGAGTTTTAAAAAGTGAATTTGTATCTTGACAAATTTTACATAAGCTTTTAAAGTTGGCCTAAAATTAGTCAATATTACAATATTCAAGATTTAAAAATTTGAAGTTTAGCTAAAATAACATCAACATGAGGAGATCAAAGTTCACACATTTGTAGAAAATGAGTCAATGTTATAAAATGCGGAGCTTTTAGTAAGTAAAATTTATATCCTTACTCAATTACTTATAACGTATCAAGTTTACTTAAAATAGAACCAATTGTTACGAAATGCATTTGGAATGGAAGACGAATTCCATAATTTTGTTATTTTTTATTACGTATTTTATTTTTTTTTTTAAAACTTTTATTTAATCTAAAAATAAATTACGGAAGCATAAGTTTGTCAACGAACATTGTTTTCATTAGTCTAGAAATAAATAGCAAACTTAGAAATTGTATGTATCCATAATGGCTAATCTCTTGATATCATGTAATACTGATTTGTAAGTCAACGTAAATAATTAAAAATGTGAGGCATTTGTGCGTTTACTTGGGTCTTTTATCAGAGGATAGAGATTATATCCCCTTAGAATTGTGATGTTCTAATTATACAAATTTAAGTTCCTACATATTTATAGATTAACTCTCCAAAATTTTGTAAAGTTCCTAATCTTTAAAACATACAAACAATAAATCGTAATAAAATAGAAAATAACTATTACTCAAGACTTGGCAAATGGAAGTTATAAATTTAACTATAATGACAAAATGGCTAACAGCAAAAATTCTACTTGTCAGAGTTGCATCATAATCATCAGTATGCATAACTTTTTTAAGAACATTTCCGCCGGAGAGCTTTCTCACCTTACAAATACCAACAAGCAACACATTTTTATTTGCTTCTTCCAATGAATTTCAAAAGCCTCCATTTCCAGCTATCCTGGATAACTTACATCCAAATTCAGCAACTATTCAGTAGCTTTTTTTTTTTTATTAGTCCAAAATCCGTTGTTAGGAGTCAGACCCTCCGGCTCTATACTAAAATGGGGAGGACGTAACTAACTCAGCTGAGCTGCTTAGTTTCCTCTGATTTTTACTTCATGACAGAGTTGCAAAATTCTGAAGCACCACATGGGGCCCTCAAGAAGTAACTGTACATATGGATTCTCAGCTACCTTGTCCCACTTAATCCATGGCTACCTCATCCCCTTACTACCGTCATGACAAAAACACTTTGATTCAGATTCTGAGACACCTTACCCTATGAAACCTTCAGTAGTTCATGAAAAGCTTCTTGAGGTATGTCTACAGAACCAATACGCTTCATCCGTTTCTTCCCTTCTTTTTGTTTTTCCAAAAGCTTCCTTTTCCTGGTAACATCCCCACCATAACACTTTGCAAGAACATTCTTTCTCATTGCCGATAGCCTGAAAACAAAAGTAGCTCAGCTAGTTCATTAATCGATTCACAGGCACTGGCTTGAAAACCTTCTGAAAAAATGTATGAAAAATATTATCAGGAAAAAAGATTGTGAACATACGTCTCTCTTGCAATAATCTTTGATCCAATTGCAGCTTGTATGGTTATCTCAAACATTTGCCTGAAACAAATAAATCAATTGGGACTACTGCAGAAAGTCAACATCAGCCCAACAATTTTGCTTTACATAATACCTACCTGTCTATGAATTTCTTCAGCTTCTCCACCAGTTCACGACCAACACGCTGAGCTTTCTGATTGTGAACAATAGTTGCCATTGCATCAACTGGTTGTCCATTTAAGAGGATATCAAGTTTCACCAAATCAGACTGTTGATAACTGTTGTGACAAATTAAATCAGTAAAAAGAGACTAGACAAATAAGATTTATGAGCATAATGCGTCATGCCATAAGCTAAAAGGGAGCTGTATACGATGTTGTATAATAGATTCAACTATGCCACTTTTTACAGTAAAAATTGATGGTCAATCTGAGTCAACCTGCTGATCCTGCAAGTCAACCTAGTAAATTCAACTGGAAAATAGGATCATTTCAAGAGATAAGTCAAGAGTAGTAACTCTAGTTAGCCAGCTGAACATGCAGAGTGGTCTAGTTTTAGGGCAGGGCAGTATGTGATTGTCTATCAGTTTGTCTCCATTTCCATTTTTGTCTTTCTCCTCAAATCAAGGAGGCCAATGATTGACTGTTTCTTTTATCGCGTTCCTGGTCTCCTGTAGCTGGATCCTCTGGCGGCTCTTGTAGCAGTTTTCAACAATCATTCAGAATAGAAAATTAATAGCAATATTGCACTCTCCTCTCCATAATTCCCTACTCTATTTAAACCTTTAGTTGTTACCTTCTATCTCCTTCCTTCTCTATTTCTGGCCAGCCTTTTAAGGTTAATGTCCCATGCCATACAATCTAGTATCAGAACAGTCTGATTGAGAGGAATCACTTGCTTCCACCACTACACTGGTGCAGAAGGGGAAAGGCAGTACGACTGGCTATCACCATTTGTTGCAACTCAATGGTACTGCTAAACCTTGGGCCAACAGCTTCAAGGGTGCATAAAGGAGATGCATGAAACCAAGTAGGCCAACAATGGCCACATCCACGGGCTGCAAACCGAAACCCAGAGATGTGTAAGATGAGCACTTCAAAATCTCAAGTCTCTTTATATTGGAAAGTAATAGCTGCTAACCCATAAGAACAGAGAAGCAGCTGGGAGCATTAATTATGGTTTCTATTCTACACACACTTGGAATGCTCCTTGCTTGGAAATACTGATGTTCTGCTGCCAGACCTAAACCTAGTAGTTTGAGAAAGCCTGATTACAGGAAAAAACCATTGAAGCATTCTTAAAACGCAGAAAACCTCCTTACATATAGATGTTCGTGCAACTGAGCCCCAAACCAATTACCACTACTCCATTTTGTAGCCCAGTAATCTAGAACACTCCACACTCACCAAAAAACTTTCCTCCATTGGTCCACACAAAAGCTGAAATGCCAAAGCAAATCAAAGAAATTCATCAATAATTCTTGCTACTGCTGTGGCGACAATTCTTTCCTGGCCACCAATGCACAATTATCTGCCCTGGATGTGACAACTGAAACAACTGAGGAACCCCTGTTTGGAAACTGAACAGATTGAAGCTTTAGAAGGTGATGTGGTTAGATATTTGTCAGGCAATAGAAAGAAATGTCTCCTTGAATGCTATTAAATTTCAAGGGTTCATCAGGGGATTATCAATAATGGATTGAGATAGTGGCAGTGCACAAAGCTCCTTGTTCTGGATGTCCAGATTGTTAGGCTGGTTAACACAACAGTAGTGAGAGCCACACCTCTTATGGTCACAATGACCTGTAGTAATAAGACCAGTAGCCACTTCTAACGTGAAGGGTTAGTTTGGTTCCACTAACATTGGTCATGCTACCATGTTAATGTGATAGGCTCCACTAACATTCTAAGAGATAAATTGCCCTAACATTGAGTTACATTCATAATCACCCTTCCTCAGATTGTCATAACTGATGGAAGACCGCGACCTCTTCAATCCTCTAGACCAGTCAACTACTTGTCTACTCTTGCCGTTAGGCTTTGCCCGTTTCCCATTTACCTTCTCCTTTTTCGTTCGTTCAATCTCATAAAGAGAATCATGGTCTGCTCTTCGAGACAGTTTCAACAATCATCTATAATCATTAAAGAAATACAATATTGCACTCCCTTCTTTCCCTCAAACGGTAGCCTCTCCTAAAACTCCTTTTTCTATTTCGAAAATAAAAATAAAACCTTCTTCATCATCCTTTATCTCCTTTGTCCTTCCCCTTCTCCTTCTCCTCTTTTATGCTTACCCTCTCAAATTAATGTCCACAACTAACAAAATTGAAGCTCTACCATTAGGCATCGTCCAATATATCACTAATTAAACAATAAGAGAGAATTTATTTTAATGGAAGTATATAACATAGTAGCTCTAAACATTACCCATCTGCCACATCACATACTCCTGATCGCAACTCTTTATGAAGTAGGTTAGTATATCTATTGTTGTTGTTATTTTTGCCGTGTGTATTTTTTTTTTTTTTTGTGTAAGTGAGAGAGAGAGAGAGAGAGAGAGAGAGAGAGAGAGAGAGGAAGAGGAAGAGAGAGTACTCTGAGTCTTCGTAATCAAATGAGGCATATCCTGATGTTATACTCTTTAATTCATTGTAAAAGTCAACAACAATTTCCTTCAAAGGTAGTCGGTACTTCATAAAGGCTCTCTGGCTGCAAAATACAAATTCCTAAAATTTCAGAATATTATTGATTAAACCGTGAATATACATATCAAATAAGTTATAGCCAAAACACAGAACATAAAGTAAGAGTTTGGAATTCACAACTCTATAGACTAATTCATTAAACTAATAGATGGAACTATTATCTAGGAATGATCTTAACAATATAAAATAATTCATTAAATTAATAAATGGGATATTATTCAGGACAGGATCAGGATGAATTTAGTGAAGTTTGAATCATCGAAATCCAAGTGGTTGGGCTGAAAAGCTTAAATATTCCAGGAAAAGCTGTACCTATCAATGAATGAGTACTCCAACTGCTGCCCTCTCCGCTCAGAGCATAGGGTAATGACAGGCCCGACATATCTTCAAGTACCAAATGCAAATGGATAAATACATGCTTTGATAGCAGAAAAGTTAAAACTCAACAGGAGTACGAGGGCTTACTCACTAGGAATGATAATTGTTGCTAGTACTGTAGGCTCCCAAGAGGCTGTAACTCGTTTCTTGGGATTTGAGGGCAATGCTGCAGGATTTTGTACGTGCTCTTTGCTAAAAGGACACATTTATTGTTTGGTAAAAAACATGGAAAACAATATTATAAAAACATTATGATACGTACCTTCCATCAGAGTACTCAAATATATATGGGACAGTTGGAATGGTGGAAATAACATGAGCCCCATACTCCTGGCATTCATAACACAAATATAGACTGTATAAAGCAATGCTCATGATAATGGCTTGCAAAACTTATACAGCATTTGTTAATCATGCAGTGCATCAACCTCTGACTGCAGCAAGTAACACAAGATCACATGTGCAGCCACAAGGGAGGAAAGGGATTAGGATGGCAAATATAGTAAAAGCACCTGTTCTAGCCGCTGATGAAAAACATCCATATGAAGTAAGCCTAGAAAACCACACCTGCACATGAAACACAAGATTAAAAAAAACAATTACTATATAGCAATAGACTCCTTGATTTGAAGCATTAGGAAGTAAATGATTAAAAGGTGGGGATTGAACCTGAACCCTAGTCCAAGTGCTGTGCTACTCTCTTTAGTAACAGAAACACTGGCATCATTGCATGTCAGTCTCTCCATTGCATGATTAAGTGCATCAAAATCAGACCCATCAGCAGATAAAGACCAGAGAACACCATATGTTTAGCTGGCTTGAAACCTGAATTATGGAAGAATAAAAATGTATCATAAAACAGAACAGACAAATTGGCAGTCTAACACAAAATATTATAGAAGAATGTTCCATTATTCTTAAATCAACATCCAAATTAAAAT